GCAGTGAAAGTGGAATAGCGCCTTTTATTGCATGTGTTAGTCGGGTTTTCAGCAAGTTCCCCAGTGTCATTGAAGTCCATCGTGATTGCGCGAGAAATGGAACGTTCCTAGTTAGCGATCGTACGTGCGTTTGGGCGACCAGGCGATAAGTTATGATGAGGAGTATACACATAGATCGGGCGATTGGGCGAGTAGGCGAGTGGTTAGGCGGGAAGACTACATACGTATTGATTGGTTTGCTCCGCCCATAGAGCGTTGTAGGCGAGTAGGCGAGTAGGCGATTAGGCGATTAGGCGATTAGGCGATCGCTCGGAGCAACAAATCAATACGTATCCTTCCCTTATCGCCTACTCGCCTACTCGCTAATCGACTGCTCGCCTACTCGCCTATTCGCACGTACGATCGCCAACTGTGAACGCTCCATAACTCTGTAAACACCCAGAATTCAGATAATAGGATTCTGAATAGGATTCGCTTGCTGTTAGCTTGAAAATTAAACGTGCTCATCCATCATAATTGAGCATCTAACACTTATCTTTGATTTACATCACCATTATTGAGGAATCTGAATGGTTTTGCGGTTTGTTTTGTTCTTCTTGCTGAATGAACTGAGAATGAAATTTGTTTAGACCTGCCTGAGATACGCTTGTTGGTCGACATCATGTGAACGCACCCAATCACATAGAGTTGACGACTTTTGCGCTCTCAGGCGTCCTATCCGCCCTTATCAGAGGTTATAGCCCTCTTTTCCCACCAACAATGTCCCACCACACATAACACTTGGGACTGTGGGCGCTCTAGTGTTAACGCGGATTATGTAATGGAGTCGACGTTTTTTTACGTTTTTGCGCCTTATCAGCCTTTAGCCGATATCGCTTTCAGGCACCTACCAATTATGTCACCGGTAAACATAACACAACAGTTGTAATTATGGACACTCCAATGTTGACGCGAACTACTACGAAACGGAAGCGGCAACCTTTGCGCTCCAGGCCTCTTATTAGCCCTTATCAGTTGTTATCACTGCGTTATCTGTACCCACCAGATATGTCCCGTCCCATACCCCTATATCATATCTTGAAACATTGAACTCCTGACGACCCGCTGGTACCCGCGCTACGAATTTACGGTCAAACACACACCAACAGACACACCTAGCCGATCGTATTTAGTAGTATCATTGGTTAGAACCCAAAAAGTTTCGGACGGTGGACAATCTCACAGATAGGGCATCAAAACCCGTCCCATAATTTCAAGCAGTGGAGGACCATCTGTCAGAATAAGTTGGCTGTTGTGAGAATCTTTTCTCCACTTTTACACAACATATACTCGATATCGAGAGTTGGGGTGGCGTGTCACCGGAAGTGACGTGCACTTGATAGAAACTATGTGGATAAGCTGCTTCCAACATACATCGCTGGCTATCAGCAAAGCATGCTGGCAAC